AGCTCATGAGACCATACAGATTTTGTACACACTTGTTGGTTAAAATGCAAGTTTCTAATATGTGCGGTCCATTCTATGTACCATCACACTGTCTCTATCTCCTCTCCTTTTAAATTTGGCTGATTTTGCAGCAACAGGAATTGAGAGAAAAAACTCAAAATTAAAGGCAGACATTACTTATCATTAACATAAAATTATTTGTTTCTAGAACACTGCAGCTCATAGGGCCAAAAAGATAAAGGGAGGAACTAAATATTAAAGAACACAAATAATCCAGAAACTACAGTTCATAAGCCAGATAAAATACGGTCTACCATCAAACTTTTCAATATCAGCATATACAAAAATAAAAATCAAAAAACCTCAGGCTGTTTTTATTCTCCAATAACAGATAGTATTACCAGTGTGAGAGGGTGATAATCTCAAGTGATGTTCTGCCTTACCACTTGTGGTAAATGCAATTTACCATGCAAAAAATGCAATTTCTATTTAAGTCTATTCTTCAGTTTGTAGGCATCTGTATAGATACGGAGCAAGGCAAAACTCATTAGAGGATTTAACAAATTGCGTTCAATCTTGTGTAACGCATACTTAATGAGGTAATGAGAGCAGAGAAACGTAGTGTTTTCATTTAAAAAAAAATTAAAAGGAAGACCAAAATTAAACCTCTTCCCTACTTTCTGTGGTAACCACATTAAAAACAACGAAAACCAAACCGTCCCACGCTTATTAAGCACATTACCACTAGAGGGCTCTACAAGACAGAACTTCCCTTTAATCTTTTCTCCACAAACGGTTGCAAATGGTTCAAATTCAATGGAAAATAAATTAATAAATTACTGTTTTTCTCCCCCTTCATGGAGGCTTTTACTAGATTTAAGCTGTTGATTATAAAAGATTGACTCTAAACTAAAGAGATAAAACGCCCTGAAAAATGTGACTCCTCAAAGCTTTTTACTCACCATACTTCAGGCAGTAGATATGCTTTTTCAAGAAGACAATACTGTTCCTTATCAAGATAATGCTTTGTACAGGTGCAAATAACTTTGCATGAGTATTTTTGTGATTATCCAGTACTGCTTCAGGCAAACAACCATTACTCTGTGTCAGTGCAAGAACTGTTTCTGTTCTACAACAGCCAAAGCTGCAGACATACATTAAAATATCTAAATTATTTTCTGCACTTCATCAAATTTCTCTGTCAAGGTAACATAGTAAATCTATGAACTATATTGGAACAACCCTATCCTAGCAACTACAGAAAACACAAGGAGAAAAACAAGCCTGCAAGAAGGAACGCAGGGCTACTAAAGCCATTCTCATAAGTTTTACAACACGCCTCCATGCACCACCCTCTGTTTAGCAAGGATTTAGATCCCACAGAGAAAAGATATAAACCCAAAATTTTAGTAAAGCAAGGACAAAAGGCTCAGGGTATTCTAAATACCTCTAAGCTATCTGATCCTAGTAATCTACCAGCTGTCATTTTCAAAATCTGAAAGTCAGACCCTACATCTGGGTCAAATACTGCAATGGCCAACACGTTCACTTACCACCACATTTTGAAAACGAGACTTGGTCGTTGAATGCTCTGCCCCAGCCAACTGTGAGCACACACAGACACTGACAAGCGGACAAGGAGACAGGGAGGTGACACCACTTCTATGTCCTCACTGGAAAGCAAAGCCCTGTGGGATGCACTGAAGCCTACCTTCTCCCTGAGTTTCAGAGGACAATCACCCCTTCTGCGCTGCTGGAGTGGGTGCCTGGTGAGAAGTTTCTTGGGTGGCCCAGCTGTTTGCGCCAAGGGCTGCAACTGAGGCAAAATCCAGGGAAAAAAAACAAATTGCCACCAAGACCCTGTGCTGCCACTAACACCTTTCCCCCACCTGCCTCACTTCACACTATGGTGACTTTTTCCCCAGACACTACAGCGACTTGAAATCCCATTTCTACTAACACACCTTTCCTGTTCTCTGTAGAAATAGGGTATCTGTAAGCACATACATAAAACTCAAACACTTCACCCACTAGAATCAGGAGCACAGTGACAGAATCACAGATAGGAAAGGAAGCTGTCACAAAATTACAAAACCTGTATTTTAGTTCACTGCAGCATTACATGGCAGGAAAGACATATCTTAATTTTAAGACACTGAATTTTCATCTATCACAGTTAGCAACTACTTGCAGTAGGAGGCCAGGGTCATACCACAACACAGAGATGATAAGGCAGAACAGGGAATGGATGGGCCTTGCCACAAACAAAATGATCCTTTCCTGAATGAGGAAGAATTAGAAAAAAAAAAATCACCAGGTCACACATGTCCAGACACTGCTTCCTCACACAGCAGCTTTTTTCACCCCCCATCACTGAGTGTTCTTCCATCAGCATCTGAATATCCTATAGCCTCCACAAAGCCTAAGACTCTAAATTTTCTCTGGATATCTGTGTTAATCTCATACAACGTTGTTTGAATGTCTAGGGCATGCCCCAATGCTCCTCGTGCATTTCTCAGCTGGTACCACAGCCCAGTTCCCTACAATCAAGAGGCCAATCTTCCTTCTAGAGCTCTACTGGATGTTGTTCTTTAACCCCTGTGTAAAGGTCTTTCCTTTGTGATTTAAAGCATACGCTTCTTGTCCTACGCTGCAAGATGCTATTTCATGCAATTGAAACATCAGCTGTCACATCATGCAATTTAAAGGTGACGGCAGTACTGTCTTCTGACATCCTGGGAAAAAAGTATGTCCCTAAAGCATGCAGTGAGAATAGCAAAGCAGAGCATGAATTTGTGTGTAAGAGTGAGAATCGTGACATATTAGCGTTCCAAAGCCAGAATAAAGCAAGACCTAGGTCAGCTGTCCACAGTGAGCTGCTGGAGCACCAGTGAAGAAATACAGCATAGCAGAGGATGCAATTACAAATATGACACAAGTAACGACAACTCCAGCTTCACTGCGGGTTAGTATTGTTCAACTGCAATGCCATACGCCAGAGATGCAACGACTTGCATAGGATTCTGTCTAGACACAGGACAATTCTACAGTGCCTCAAGTCAGAGCTCTAAGTCACTTAGGCCTAGCAATACACAGCAACAGAAGCCTAAACATTTTTCAGAGGTCTGGGTTTAACTGACCTGGTTAAAGCTAAGTCTGTACCAATACCAAGGAAAATAATCAGTATCCTTCAATTTCTAATTATGCTGCAGTTGAATGGGAGACTCGGTTTCTTCTCACAAAAGCAGATCTGGCAGAAATTCCAGTGTTTTGTGGCTTGTTTTTTTAAGCTGAAGAACATTTTTATCTGATTACAACATCTGCTCAGACTTAATTGAATTCTTGAACATTTGTTCTGCTACCTTGTTTCAAGTTTTGTTCCAGAGACTATTCAAACTAAGTCACATTTGTTAAAATGTCCTGTAACTGTACAACCTTGGTGCTGACAAATCACTTGTTTCTTTTTGTTAAGCAAAAGCCTAATACAACTCATTTGCCTGTTACTGCATTCATTAAATAAAAAGTATAACAGTAAAAACTAATTCTGAAATTAATTTCTTTCCACATCGAACAAGATGTTCAAAGTACTCTCATGTAGATTCTTCTACAGATCCCTTTGGAAAAGGGCTTGGTATGAGAGTCTGTTAACAGACTACTGGCTCCAGATGAAATCTAGGGAGATTCTATTCTTCTATTCTTACTTTATTTCTTATTTTATTTCCAAGAGTAGAGGGGCACCTTCTCCTCCACCCTTAAGAAGCAGCAGTTACTAGCTTTTCAATAATCCTCACAATGCATCCAATTAAAGCGACCAGACTCATGCAGATGTTTCCATGCCTTTTTTAAGCAATACTTAATGGGAAGCACTGTGCATAGAGGAGCCTTGTGATGGGCTAGCTCATCTTAGCCCAAGCCGAGCTCAGAGCACCAGAGATGCGGTGTCAGGACATCAAAACCGCAAGAGAAAACAGACCAATGGGGATGTGGGGGCAGTTATAACCCATAGCAATTTTACTATCAGTGTAATTAGATACAATAAGGTGACTTAAGAATAGTATTAACTTTGTCTTATTCATTAGATAGCAACTTCTGGGAAAATGTTGTAACGTCTTTTGCTTTCACTGAGATTTATACAGAAAAATCCTCAAAATATCCTTTGTTCTCTTCCTTTCCTTTTAAATGTTATTATGTATTAAAAAAAATTAAAAATGTATCGACACACAATTTTTAAGTTTAGTTTGTAAAAAAAAGCTTCACAAAGGTTGTTTAAACAGCATGCCCACCTTAGAGCAACGCAGAAGATTCAATATAAAAAGAGGATGCGAACTAGGGATCAGTCACACCTAGGCAACAGGTTCATACTGATGAATGTGCACATGGTGAATCTGTAGAGTTTTTTGAAAAAAGAAACAGCTTTAGAATAAGATTGAATCTTGGCTTGGTTAAAAAAGTTCAAGTGCGGTCTGAGTACTCTTCAGTTCTTCGCCTGGAGCTATGCTCTCCTCATGTTGATCAACAGTCATTAAGTGTAAAAATAATTGTCATTTTACAGCTTCCAAGTTCTTTATAGAAAGAACTTTTTCAGGGTCCTTTATAAAAAAAATTTCCTTATTCTTCACTTCCGCAGATGATACGGTAAGACAGAAGGGAGACACTCATGGCTCCATTTTTAATGTCCTCTTCCTATTTTAAGAGGGAAGAAAAATACACAAAACAATTGAAATATTAGTTGCATTTAAAGCAAATAAATTATACACCTAACACTAAATGAGATGACAGAATAATTTATCATCATTATCTGTCCTCACAGTCCTTTCTGAATGCAAAAGACTAACATGGTCTTACACAAGCATCAAAAAATGCAGAATACTGTGCTGCAGTTTAAGCTAGCTATTCTGATGCACAGAATAGTAGTTTTGCATAAAACTATAAACCTCTGTAAAAGATGAAAAATACATTGTTTAATATTTACAAGCTTTAGAAATCAAAAGCCATTCCGATTACTGAAATGTAAAAACCACACACGCACCACGAAAGCTTCCTCCGCCACCTCTTCCTCCTCTGAATCCTCCTCCACCTCTTCCTCCTCTGAATCCTCCTCCTCTTCCTCCACCTCTTCCTCCTCCAAACCCTCCTAAACATAGGAAAGAAATTACACTTTGAGGAGCATACAGAATTTGTTATTCATGACAACAAGTCATTGGCAGCTTCTGAGAGGAAAAGAACATCAACAACATAAAACCACAAACTGTCGAGTGCTGGACAGCTACAGGTCAATTACTACTACCTTGTCTCTTCTAGGGATCATTTGCAGCATTTTAGGTATTGTTAAATATCTGATGCACAATATCCAAAATGCTAAAGACGCTAATAAAACTCCACAATAAACTGCTTTCATGAGAGCAAAAAAATAATCACAACAAATCATTATTAATTACAATTCAACATTAAAACAAAACAAAAAGCTTTGAAGCACTTGTGCCTCACTGAAGAGGGGCAAGATAGGCAGGAGATGGAAGAAACGGTGAGGCAATTAAAAATTAAGTTCAGCTTTAACTAAGGAGTACATTGCAGATAATGTTCAAAAAGCAAAGAAAGTATATTCTTTAAAGAAGATGACAAAGAAAGCTATTCACCTTTCACATGACAAGTATTGTCCAAGCCAGATTTTTAGAGCATATTAAAATACAACTTTCACTGACACTGTGGAGTGCACATTATCTACATCCTTTTACAACAAGTTTGCTTAGTAGCCACGCTTTCTGCCCTTGTTATAAATCAGCATGCTTTCCTCCCTATGTTTTGAGGCTGTTATTCAGCTAAGCTACAGAAGCCTAGCTCTTGCCATTGCAAAGATAGTGCTGTCTCTTCCACTGAGTCATCACAAACAAATATACATAACGTTTTTCTTTCCAAAACAACTGTTAATATTCAAGTACTCAACTGCAACTATATCAAAAAAAACAAAAAACAAACAACAAAAAAACACTCCACCCCAAAAAACAAACTTAAAAACCCAAACAATCCATCTCACACCAAAAAAAGTATTCTGTAGTTTCCATTCCTGGGATCCTACCTCTACCACCACCTCTTCCTCCTCCACGTCCACCACCACGTCCTCCTCTACCTCCTCCTCTGGGAGCACCTTTTTCTCCAGGTGGCCTTGGTAAAAATCTCTGAAGGGGGAGCAGCTTTGCTGGATCAATGTAAAACTGTAGGAAGAAAGTTCCATCAGGCTTTGAAAACACCAAGGCTAAAGAGCACATTAAATCTCCCTTTACAAATATTCACAATTTGGTCTTAACTCTTTATGTCAAATTGACCCTTGCAAATTGCCAAATAAGAAAGCACATGAGAAATAAATCCCAGTGTTATAAAGTTATGAAAATACAGATGATATTTACATGAGTTTCACATTAGATTTTTTTTTGCAGGGCACCGAGTAGGAAGAATGTGGCAGATATAAAAGCGAAAAGGAAGGGGAAATGAATACTTATGTTTACAAAGGACAACTTTAAAGTTAATGGAAACTTAATAAAGCTTTTATTATCTGATGACACGGAGCAGATTTGTGTAACTGATGACATACAGTCGAATTCTGTTATTAAGATTGGCTAACCTTTTGCATTTTTTTAAAAGAAGAGGCTTTCATGTTCTCAGACAGTTTCACTGAAAAATACTGTTAGTTTCTTTAAGGAACACAGAAAGAATAAAACACTGGAAATTGTGGTTTTGATTACTATATGAAAGGCACATTCAAACATTTTTTTAATTGCAATTAAAAGATCAGGAGAAACTATTTCAAATTTTTCTCAGGGTTTTTTCCTTGTTACAAATATCGTATTTTCTGGCAAAATCATTCTTTCCTTCCATGTATTAAGTCCTACAGAAGACCATACCAATGGAAAAGCACACAAAAACATAACTGTAAAGAAATAAATTCATATAGCAAGTGATGACTCCCTTAGCCCTAGGGTGACCTCAAGGCTTATCTGGAACAATTTACATGCTGCAGGGGCTCTGCTAGTGCTGCTGCTGCTGGGCAGTAGGACTGCCTGGCTGTGGAAAGTTAAGAGCCAGCAGGGACCGCTGGACCAACGACACGCCCAGCCTCATCACACAGTGAAGCAGCAAATGCACTCTGCAACCCCACATGCAGTCCTGCACGGATCCTCAAACTCTCCACTACACAAGGACTTTGGTACCAAAATATCAAGAAGAGGTGCTGGCCAACTGTGCTTAATTAAGACTGAAGCTTAAATGGGGAAGCAAGGAACTGCAAAATAAAAGTAACACATTTTCTTAATATGTTATTGTAGGAAGAAAACAAGTTTCTGAATAATTCCGACACAAAAAGTAAATCTGCATGTTAAGACATTCAGAGTACAACAGTGATTTAAACCTGCACATTTTACTTCACATCTAAAGTGGGAGAGGAAAATGCATGCAGCTAGTTACTGATGCTCCACCAACTAACACAGGCTAGGTCTTAGTGCCATGTTACAGGGGTACTCCCTGTGTGGTTCCGTTTTTGTCACAGATTCCGTCAATCCAGCAGTAACAAGACCCGATGCCTCTGTCTCAACAAGCTTGCTCTGCAAGAGGACTTCCTAGCACACAGTCCACTTTTACTGATAGTTCAAGTAATAAGCTGGACAAAGAGCAATAGTGCATCTTAGCACAAAGTCATATTTAGATTAAGTAATAAGCTGGAACATGAGCAAGGCCCCCTAAGGCACAAAAAGACCCCTGCTCCCTTGATCCACCTCTGTAATACGTGAATAACCTATAGCAGAAAATTTGGTCAGGCAGCTAGAAAAAGCGACATCTTGAACCACCATGACTCCAAACAAAAGATTCTGCTAGTATTAGTACTGAATGAAAACCTCTGCCTGACATAAGGTACAAGAAAAGCTTTAAGACAGGCACTTATTGTGAACCAGGCACCTACTAACACCAACAATTGCAGATCCTAGAGAAATTCCATTTAATAATCAATCAGCCTTTAGAAGCAAATATGGTATGTCACACATTTTTTTGAAGGATACAAAATCTCTCAGCTGTCCGAAGATTTCATCCACTTTGCCAATTTGTTCCTTATTATCCAAGTACACTGGGGCATTGAAATAAGGCACCTTGTTTTCTTCCGTTTTACATTTACAAACAATGTCATCTTCACACGGATGCATGAACTCTCCCAATACTGAAATAAAGAACAAACAAGGTAAAGATCTGGAGCAGTCACTCTAAGTAAAATAAATATAATCTCTTCATGTAACTTACAAACTACCCTTTCTGGAGGTCCCTGGTCATATCCGCCTCTGTTGAAGCCTCCTCGTCCACCTCCCCGTCCAAAGCCACCTCGTCCACCACGATTAAATCCACCTCTGTCACCGCCACCTCCTCCACGATTGAAGCCACCTCCTCTTCCTCCTCCACCTCCTCTTCCTCCTCCACCTCCTCTTCCACGAAAGGACATTCTCTACTACCTCCTAGATGGTGGACAAAAAAAAAAATCAGTTGTTTTACATGTACAAGATATTTCACGTTTAATTTGCTGTATAAATTCAAGTCTTCCAAGACTTGTTTGTTTAATGGTTAGCCATTTCTATTGTCACTAAAAGCACACATAATCATAGAATGGTCTGAGTTAGAACGGACCTTAAAGATCATCTAGTTCCAACCCCCCTGCCATGGACAGGGTCACCTCCCACTAGACCAGGTTGCTTAACGCCCCATCTAGCTTGGCCTTGAACAATTCCAGGGAAAGGGGAGTCCACAATGTCTCTGGGCAACCTGTTCCACTGTCTCATTACCCTCACAATAAAGAATTTCTTCTTAATGTCTAAACTAAATGTAGCCTGATCTATTTTAAAATCGTTGCCCCTCCTCCTATTACTACGTGCCCTTGTAAACAATCCCTGCCCTTCTTTCCTGTAGGCCCCCTTCAGGTACGGAAAGGCCTCTATAGGGTCTCCCCAGACCCTTCTCTTCTCCAGGCTCAACAAGCCCAACTCTCTCAGCCTGTCCTCACAGAAGAGGTGCTCCAGCCCTCTGGTTAGTTTTACGCCATCCTCTGGACTCGCTCCAACAGGCCCATGTCCTCCTTGTGCTGGGGGCGCCAGAGCTGGACGCAGTACTCCAGGTGGGGTCTGTGCAACTCTAGCCCCGCGGAGGTCCCGCACAAAACCGAGCACACACTGCGCACACCCACAGCGCCCTGCCCGGGCGCCTCACGGGGCCCACCGGGCACCGCCTGCGGTCTGGGTAGGGGGGTCCCTGCCAAGGGCGCCGTCCCCCGCACTCCCGGACCATCCCGCGGCCCAGCACAG